ATCACATATGTATTTGATATTTTAGATGCTCAACAATTAGAGTCCTTTCTAAATGTTAGAGAAGATTATCATGAAGACTTTATAAGAGCCTTCTATGTTGGTCTAGAAACGAATAAAGGCTGGTGTTCTAAGGTTAAAATTGGAACAAGAAGATATGTATTTGAAGCAATTGGCTGGAAAACTGTTTTTGGCATTCCATTTGGAATGTCAATAATGAAGAGCTATCATGACCAAAGCTTTGATACTGACTATAACGAGGAAGCTTTCATAGCCTCAATTTTGAAACTTGATAGACCTCTAGGTGAGTTTGAGCCCATAACCACTGGTACAATCAAAAGCATTCCTAGAATGTTTCACTGGATAATTTCACATATACTGCGTCCTAGATCCGATGGCCACTCTAGGCTAGACAGGTCATATATTCATCTTTTGCATATTCTGCTAGATAGGGTACCCCTAAACTGGCCAAACTACTTCGTCAAATGCATGTTTCTTATACGTAATAGTCAGAAGAATACAGCCCTGGGATATACTGCACAAATAATGAGAATTATCAAGTTTTAGAATCTTGTTATTCCTCTTGTCCCTCTTATCTCCCCTACTGCTTCCCAAGAGTTCAATAAGGCAATTCTATCTCATATGGGATACAGATGGGATAAAAAACGTCAGTGTGTTTATTTTAAGGAGAAAGGGTCCAATATACGGGTATATAATTTTGATATACCCTCTGAACAAATTTATGAGGATGAGGATCCTGTTGATGCAGACATGCCAGATATAAATGAGGATGCCTAACCTGAGGCAAATCAGGCTGTAACTGGTTGGGGTGAGTGGGTGCCAAATCGGTGGTCTCCAACAAACTATCAATTTGATCAAACTTCACCACCTCATGCTGCTGCCACTACTGCTGCAGGCTCTTCCTCTGAAGCTTCTGCTTATCTCACTGCCATGTTTCAACAAATTGAGGTTGCCAATGAATCTCGACATGAAGAAGCGAGACGTTGGCATAACCAGCAGAGTGAATGGCACAAGGAGCATGAACAATGGCATGATGAGCATACGCGAATGTACCAAAACCAGCATTCGTGGCACTTGGATTTGGTCAAATGGCACCAAGTATTCTACAATGAAATGACTAGCTTTATGGATGACTGTCGTGATAATCCTGGAATCGTGGAAAATTTCATAAACGTCAATATCCAAAACAGATTTCGACGATATCAATTCATGACCCAGAACCCTGACATCAATCCACCTCCTCCGCCTCCTCCACCCTACAACTATGATGAATCTTGTGATGGGCACAATCCTTAACATTTATCTTTATGTCATACATATCATACCATTTGTCTTTATGCCTTTTATCTGATGTTTGTATTAATGTTCCCTTCAAACAATTTACTTTGCTTATGTAAACTGAATATTATCTGCATTAATTACTTTCACCCTAATTACTTCCTGTTTACTCAATTATTTACTCAGTTATTACCATGATTATGCCAAGACTCATTCTCTGTGAATGACATTGGTTCCTCTTTTGATTACAATGATTGCTGAGATTGCATCTCAATTTTCTTGTGTGTTGAGATTGCTGAAAATATTTCTTATTCTCTTTTTGATGTTGTCAAAGGGGGAGAAGAAGATGGTGTTAGTGTTAGAAAAGAATTCTTAAGATGCACAAACTTGGGGGGAGCAAGCTTATTCATCCATACTATATCATCGCACATCATTAAATATTTGCCATCATCAAAAAGGGGGAGTTTGTGAGCAACCCCTTCATAATTGGTTTTGAATGATTGCAAATATATGTGAAATAATCAATAAATGTTATCTACATGTGTGCATTATAAAAATATAGTATAACATGTTTAAAATGAGTTAAAAATGTATTTTACACATAAAGCATTGTTATGAGTCGACACAACCTGTTTTGCATCGACACATACTCAAGCAAAGAATCATAAAAACGATTCAGCTTCAGTATGAGTCGACACATCCATGCTATGCATCGACTCATAACATGTTGATTCCCTTGGAATTCTATCTTTAACTATTATGCATCGATACAAAACCCCATGCATCAACACATAACATATTGATGCCCATGTAATACAACCTTAAACTTGTATGCATCGATACAAAACTTTATGCATCGACACATGACATGTTAATGTCCTGGAAAACACTTTTGAACTTGTATGCATCGATACATAACATCATGCATCGACTCATAACACATTTTGTATTCAAAAATTAAAAGTTCAATCAGTATATATCGACACATACGTGTTATGCATCGACTCATGTAAAAAGTTGGTTTTGTAATATGTTATAATATCTGCTTGCATCGACTCATAACATGTATCGACTCATCCTGTATTTCATAACTAACATGAGTTGACTCATGCTAACATGCATCGACTCATAATTTGTTTTTCTGTCTCTAACAGTTTTCTGTTAAATATATAAGCAAGTATTTTCAGCAGCAAAAGTTTATGTCAAATATTAGAATTGTGAGCATCAATTGTGAGAAGCAAGAAGCCTGAAAGATACTTAATCTTCATTATCTTCTCAATCATCTTCATTCAACAACAACAACGAAAATCAAACATCTTTATTCAATTGGATCAAGAAATCAAGAGAAAACGTTCAGTTGTGCATTCAAGGGATCTCAGCTGGGTTAATGATTGTGAATGGGGCTTCAAGGAAAAACCAAGGGGTTTGTCCTTCAAGAACGGGCGTGTTCTTGAGGGTTTGTTAGTCACGGTCGCACAAGTCAGATTCATCCGTAGCGAGAGCTTTGGAAATCAGATGGATTTTTGCAAACAAGTCGTGGAAGCGGAGGATCGATTGTGGATCTTGCAGGGAATCTTGATACAACTTATATCAAGTAGAGGTTCTTATAAGAAGAAGAAGATCATAGGGATTTCTTTCTGTCTGTGTAGTGTAACCTTGTATTCAAACATTAAGCAAATTGTTATAAGAGTTCTCAGTTTTAATTCTAAAATTGAGAGGGAGACGTACCCACACACGAGGACGACAGTGGGGAACTTCCTTACCAAACTGCTTGCGTATTGTTCTTTCTTTCTCTCTATCTCTTTACATTTTCCATAATTTTGTGATTCAATTGGCTTGCTGAGTTTTCTGTTTAATGATAAAATAGTGGTTCAAATACTTTGATCAAATCACCATTATTAAATCATCAAACAAGCATATGCCAAGTGTTTGACAAAATTCCTAACAAGTTTTAATTCATTGGAAACACTGCTTTAGTGATAAGTGCATTAAAAACGTTAAGTAATTTGTGTTGTATATTCATCCATTTCATCAAATAAACTCCAGCAAATTTTTCACATGTCCGATTTTCTAGTAGTCGGTTCAAAATAGACGGAAGTTGATTCAGGACATTAATTTTTCGCTGCTTTCAACAAACTTTGATAAAAGATTTTAAATCCTTGAAGAATTAGGAGGTGATCTATTCAACCCCCCTCCCCCTTCTCGATCACTTGTCACACCGTCTAACAATAAGATCTTTTACATTCCTCAGATGTATATGTCACCTTCTGAGTCACCGTGACCATTTAAATTGATTAGGAGACAATTTCCGATCATTGTCTCTTACGCAATGACAATTAATAAATCCCAAAATCAGTCGCTTGATAGTGTCAGATTGTATTTGTCTACTCTTGTTTTTACTCTTGGACAATTGTATATGACAATTTCAAGATTTACAATAAAAAATATCTTAAAATCTTAATACATGACAACGAGAATACACCCTGTTCTACCACTACAAATATTATATACAAAGAAGTTTCTCAATCACTTTATTAGTTGATAACTTCAATCACCAAATCATTTGGAAATGGAGACCGAATCATTTGAAACATTAGTGGTAGTAAAACAAAAACAAGATTGGTTAAACAAGTGACGTGTAGAAAAAAGAACGCAAACAGTAACTGTTTAACTGAATGAATGACTCAGTACAATTACAGGTGCAAGCTTGCAACTTTAACCACATCCATTTTAGAGCCATAAACCTACCTACCAACCAAACCAAGAAAACTCGACCCCACTATAACCACAATCACAAACCTCCAAATTCCACCTATAAAAATTTCTCATACCTTTTTCTTCTACTTCTTCTTCCTTTTCATCATCACTTTTGTTTTTCTTTCTTTCTTTCTCATCACTTAAAAAGTGTTGAATTAATCTAAACAATAAAAAGACCCTTTTGGTGTTTTCAACAGACAACCATAATGATCCTATCAGAGAAAGACTAAACCATGCTTTGTCGGCCATTCAAACTTCACATCCCAAAAAAGATCCTTCCCACTCATTCTTCCTCTCTTTGATATTCATTTTTCTGATTCTTCAACTTTTCATTTTTATTACTCCTACGATTAAAGGGTTTCTATTTTGATTCTAAAAATCTCATCTTTTTTTGCTTTGGATCAAAGATCCTCACTTTTCATACCAAAAGGTGAAGTGGGTATATTCTATTTTTTGGATTCAATTTCATATATTAACTTTCATGGTTCTTCTCAATTTTCCTTCAAATGGATTCATTGTTCCCAATTTGTGAATTGCTTAATTGGTTACTCCTTTGAAAAGTGATGCTGGGCTTTGAATGGTATGTGTATCTTTGTTTTACCTTTGAATTTTGAGTATGACACTTGGAATTGTTGTTATGACTCTAAGTTCATTAGAGCCTTTTTAACTCTGTATTTTGTGGTCCCTAACATTTGCCTATAAAAAGAAATGTGAATTTGAAAAAAGTTTGTGTCTGTTTCTGTGTCCGAAACGGTGTTTATGTTTGATTTATTTACCTTTTTCAAATTATTACTGGTATTGACGTGTGACGTGTGAGTGTAAGAGTCGTATTGGTGTCCGTGTTTCATAGATTTTGAGGTTAGATGGTTACAAAAGAAATTATTTTTTGGCTTCAATTATGCAAGTGATTAATAAATTGTTTGGTTGTGCAGGTGTTGATTGTTAAGATGTTTAGGAACATGAAGGAGGGAAGAGGTTATGCAAAAGGGTATTATTATGTTAATTTGTTGCTACTATTGAGTTTACTCTTTTGTAGCATAGAAGGGTTGAATTTAGAGGGACAAATTCTCTTGGAGATCAAGAATGGACTTGATGATAAGTATAATGTTTTGGGAAATTGGAAATCTAGTGATGAAACTCCATGTGGATGGGTAGGTGTAAATTGCATTTATGAAAATATCAGTGGTAGTGGTAGTGATCCAGTGGTTGTTTCTCTTAATTTGAGTTCTATGGATCTTTCTGGAACTCTAAATGGTAGCATTGGGGGTCTTAACAAGTTAACTTATCTCGATCTTGCTTATAATGGTTTGAATGGGAATATGCCGAAGGAGATTGGTGAGTTGTTGAGTTTGGAATATCTTTACTTGAACAATAATCAATTTGAGGGACCGATTCCGGTTGAATTAGGTAAGTTGTCTGTTTTGAGAGATTTGAATATTTGCAACAATAAACTCTCCGGTGTTATTCCGGTTGAGTTTGGAAAATTGTCTTCATTGGTTGAGTTAGTTGCCTATAGCAACTTTCTCATTGGCCCGTTGCCTAATTCTCTTGGAAATCTTGAGAATCTCGAGACTTTCAGAGCTGGGGCGAATAACATTACGGGTAGCTTGCCGGTAGAAATTGGCAGATGTAGGAGGTTGGTGCGTCTAGGTCTTGCTCAAAATCAAATCGAAGGGGAGATACCGAAGGAGATTGGGATGCTTGAAAACTTAAAAGAATTGGTTTTATGGGAAAACAAGCTATCAGGAGTTCTTCCTAAAGAGCTTGGGAATTGTAGCAGGCTTGAGACCCTTGCCTTATACGGAAATATTCTTGTTGGACCGTTACCTAATGAGATTGGGAACCTGAAATCGTTGAAGTGGTTGTATCTTTACAGAAATAAGTTGAACGGATCAATTCCAAGGGAAATTGGAAATCTTTCATCAGCTTTACACATTGATTTCTCAGAGAATTCATTGGTAGGCGATATCCCTTCGGAGTTCAGCAAAATCCGTGGTCTAAGTTTGCTCTTTCTCTTTGAGAATCATCTTACTGGTGTGATACCAAATGAGTTTGGTAGCTTGAAGAACCTGACAAAGCTGGACCTGTCGATAAATAATCTTACTGGTCCGATTCCGCCCGGTTTTCAATATTTGACTCATATGTATCAGCTGCAACTTTTCGACAACAACCTAAGTGGTGCTATTCCTCAGGGACTTGGACTTTATAGTCGTCTTTGGGTGGTTGATTTTTCCGACAACAACTTGACGGGAAATATACCTCCTTATCTATGCCGACACTCTCATTTGATGCTGTTGAATCTTGCCGATAATCAGCTTTATGGAAACATACCAACAGGTATATTGAACTGTGAATCATTGGCACAGTTGCTTTTGGTCGGTAACAGGCTAACTGGTGGTTTCCCTTCGGAATTGTGTAAACTTGAGAACCTTACCGCCATTGATTTGAATGATAACAGGTTTACCGGTCCGCTTCCTCGTGAGATTGCAAACTGCCACAATTTGCAAAGGCTTCATATTGCAAACAATTACTTCACATTGGAGTTGCCTAAGGAAATAGGAAATCTCTCTCAATTGGTGACTTTTAATGTTTCATCTAATCTTTTCACCGGAAGAATCCCTCCTGAAATTTTTTGGTGCCAGAGGCTGCAGCGGCTTGATCTCAGTCAGAACCGTTTTACTGATTCGTTGCCGAATGAAATTGGAACACTTCAGCACTTGGAGATTCTCAAGCTCTCGGACAATAAATTGTCTGGAAATATTCCTGCAGCATTAGGCAATCTGTCTCATTTGAACTGGCTGCTTATGGACGGTAATTTGTTTTTCGGTGAAATACCTCCTCAGTTGGGTTCTCTTTCGAGCTTACAGATAGCAATGGATCTCAGTTACAATAATCTTTCTGGAAGAATACCGTCTCGCCTTGGCAGTCTCAATATGCTTGAATATCTCTTTCTCAATAACAACCAATTGGATGGCGAAATTCCGAGTACTTTTAGCGCACTTTCTAGCTTGATGGGATGTAATTTCTCATACAATAACCTCTCTGGACCTATCCCTTCGACTAAAATTTTCGAAAGTATGGCTCTAAGCAGCTTTGTTGGTGGTAACATAGGCCTTTGCGGTACACCTCTCGTTGACTGCAATAGTATTACAGGTTCTCGCTCTATTCCCTCGGCGAAAGACGGTGATTCTTCGCGTGCTAAAATTGTCATGATCATTGCAGCTACCGTTGGCGGTGTTTCTCTCATTTTGATTATAGTTATTTTATATTTAATGAGACGACCTCGGGAGCCTGTTGATTCCTTTGAAGACCCTGAAACTCTCTCGCCAGATTCGGATATCTATTTCCCTCCCAAAGACGGTTTCACATTTCAAGACCTACTTGAAGCAACAAAAAGATTTCATGAAAGTTATGTCATTGGTAGTGGAGCATGCGGAACAGTTTATAAGGCAGTGATGAAATCCGGTAAGACAATTGCTGTTAAGAAGCTAGCGTCGAATCGGGAAGGGAACAACGTCGATAACAGTTTCAGAGCTGAAATATCAACACTAGGAAGGATAAGGCATCGGAATATAGTGAAACTGTACGGTTTTTGTTATCATCAAGGTTCCAATCTCTTACTTTATGAATACATGGAAAGAGGTAGCTTAGGTGAAGTATTGCACGGTTCTGCAAGTAATTTGGAGTGGCCGACTCGATTCATGATTGCTCTTGGAGCTGCTGAAGGCCTTGCTTACTTGCATCATGACTGTAAACCGAAGATTATTCACCGGGATATAAAATCTAACAACATCCTTCTAGATGAAAATTTTGAGGCACATGTTGGTGATTTCGGCTTGGCGAAAGTGATTGACATGCCTCAGTCAAAGTCAATGTCCGCTGTCGCTGGATCTTACGGATACATCGCTCCTGGTAAGCTCCTACTTTACAATATTAGTTAATGAAGTATAGATTTCTTTTCACTTCATATAGTTCCTTCTTACTGTCATAAGCACTTGTGAGATTGTTTGAGAGAGCTTACGAAAACAGCTTATGACTTCTCCGAGAAATTGAGTTTAATACATTAAACTGTTTTGAAAATTCTTTTTCTGACCATAGATTTTGATGCCTATGAAACTATTATTATACAGAATATGCATATACCATGAAGGTTACAGAGAAGTGTGACATATACAGTTACGGCGTTGTGCTGTTGGAATTGCTAACTGGAAAATCTCCGGTTCAACCGATGGAGCAAGGAGGCGATCTTGTTACATGGACGAGAAACCATATTCGGAACCATGACAATACATTGAGCTCAGAGATACTCGATACTCGTCTTGATCTTGAAGACCAAGTCACTATAAACCACATGCTCACTGTTTTGAAACTTGCTTTAATGTGCACAAGTATGTCTCCGTCTAAGCGTCCATCAATGCGCGAAGTTGTGTTGATGCTCATCGAGTCGAATGAGCGAGAAGGATACTTAACACTTACTCGAACAAACCATGACCCTCCTTCTAAAGATAACACATGAAAAGTATGCTGCAACTTCTCTTGATAGTTTTGTTAACAGATATGATTTGTTTTTCTTCATCTCTTTTCATTTCCATGGTATTGTTTTCCACTAGAGAGAGTAGGATGATGATTTTTGTACATTCTTTCACTTCACTATGCTACTAGAGTTGAGAATTTTAATTTATACTTGTCTTTTTATTGATTTCACTTATGTGTATTTTCTTTTGGAATTCAGTTTAGTAACTTCATTGTACAGTTGGGAATTACCATTTAATGTTTAGAAAAAGGGAAGAATAATTGTTTTAGTTGTTCATGTAACACAGTCCTACTCCTATCTATATTTTACCACGCAACATATTTTATTTTTATAACTTTTTTTGTGTAAACTGGGTACTAGAGGAGCCAAAATAGTCCCCGTCCGCTGGACATATTTGTTTTGACCGTATTTTTTGTTAGGCGAGTTAAGGTTTCAGGTTTGTATTCTCTGATATGTCTGTTCCGTCCTGTCCTCAATTTTTCGCGGTGCAAGTCAATGTTTTAGGCGAATCTAAGCGGGACAGATATGTCATTTTGCCAACCCTAATGTGCGTTGCGCAGAGATTAATCCCTCGAGTCTCGTTTGTCACCTCTATTCTACATTGCACAAATAATCCCTTATGTCAGAAAGATTGCAGTAGGCAGCTTTCCCTCAAAAGATTTAATATTGTTGTCGCCTAGGGCGGAGTTTGAACCGAAAACATCTGATTAAATTGAAATAAACCCTTTTATACTAATTTCTATTGCTAAAACAACTCTCTTAGGTGTAAAAAGACTTTTTAGCCTTGATTTTGCTCAATACAATGTGATTTGAGCCACTACATTCACTACTATTTTAGAATTCATAAAGAAGTTCATGCAATAATTTGCCATAAGAGTTACATTTACGAGATCTTTTAAAGTAGTTGTTTAATCCTAATATCATATATCCATATTTATAATAATAATAAAAAGGATGGGATGAATATTAAATTATTTACTTGCATAATAATAAAAAGGATGGGATGAATATTAAATTATTTACTTGCATTAATATACACATGCACTCATGGGTTGGCAATGTAAAGTTCCATGCATGCATCAAAGTGAGTGTTTCAAGATTTCTCCATGTGAATGGTTACTATTCAATACTTGATTTCCGTGGATGTATTGTTTTTATGATACTTTTTTATGGTCTTTAGTCAATATACTTTGGATTCAAGCTAAAGCAACTTGATTTAACAAATACTTCATGAACAACTTTCCTTTGAATAATTCAAATCATAAAATTTATTAATATATTCTTGTGTTGAATTGGACCTAAGTTTCCAACAAAATTTGTTGCTATGTAGATAGATCTCTTCTGGTCTTTGCTTTCTTAACTGAATAAAAAGTATTTCTTGCTTTGACCCAAAATTTAGGTGAGTTGCTTGCTTGGATTAAAATAAAGGGCTTATTCTTCCTTTCTTTTAGGGCTTAACGAGATTCAAAGAGAAATACTTACCACATCACATAGATTGCGCCCGCACCTCGGAAAAATCTAAGAATATCTTCTACATTTTTTAAAATCCAAAATATCTTTATACATGTTTGAAGCTATCGTATTTCAGCCAATCACTCCATTTTTGTCAAAATCTATTTCGGAGATACATCTTTGTATATTATTTGGGGCAAATTCGGAGATACATTTCTGTAAAATCCACGTACTCATTTATAGTATTTTAATTCACTAAGCTTTAACAACTTAATGACGACTCTGGAGATGCATATTCAAAAAAATGTCAATTAAGAAAGTGAATAAAACACCACCTTGCATGTTGTTGTACCCCAAAATTTTCCCTCTCATTTATCAACAATTTCCTCACAAGATCTCTTTGATTCAAGACAACATTAGAGTTTGACCAGCTCAAGATATCTCATCATGCACTGATGACCCAAAATTAGGTTTGAGTTTGCACAAGGATTTTTGGACTATCAATGCTTCATATGACTTTCAAGGATCACTATGGACCCCCAAGATTATTCATGCCAAATTTCAAGCTTTGAATCACACTTTTGACTAGTCAATTGGACAATTGACCTAAAAATCAGCTGTATTGAGGGAAAAGTCAACCATGGCCAATTTTCAGTTAAATTTCATAATTTTTGATCCACATCAACATCTTAGACTCATATGTATCATTTGATCAAGTTTGGAGCACAATTCCCCAAGAAATTTGATCAAATCATCAAAAGGGTAAAATGGTCAAAATTAGGGTTTTGATTGAGAAAGGGCAATTTCTGATTTTCGAACTAGCAAATGATCAATTGGTTTGAAGCATGATTTCAAGAATTCAATTGCATCATCTTGACCTAATAACATGGTTCAAAATATTGCAAATCCATTGGATTGACAGATGAATTTTTCAGTCAACTGTACACTGAAAAGTCTAACTTTGACTTTTTGATCAAATCCAAGTGCCAAAGATTATAATTCATCAAAACATATCAAAATGTGAAACTTGTTCATCAATAAATCAAGGATTGAAGATTTTGTTTTGAAATTTGAAATTTCTTAACTTAGAAATTTTTCTAAGTATAGAAAATTTCTTATTTTTTCTCAACTTTAAGCCAAATTTTAACCATGATACAAGATGATTCAAAGAAAGTTCCCAACATAAAAGTTGTAGTTCTCCATAAAATTTAAAATTTTGCTTCACACAATTTCTTCTAAAGATGCTTGGATCTCAAAATATAATTTTGTGAATACATGCTCATGAACTAAAATAACTTAGTAAATTTTTGCCCTAATTAGGCAGGATTTTGACCTAACTTCATGCCAATTTTCCACATAGTTTCAAGGGAAATATTTGAAAGAAATTCAAAGATGAGTTGTAGATCACATTACGAGCTTTCCAAAATGTCTAAGAACTCCTTGAGATCATTCTTGAGTAGGGAGAGTCAAAGAGATGAAGTTGGCAATTTCTCACTTTGATTTCAAGCCATTTCATGAAGAACAAAATTCAAATCCTCAAGCATGTTGTACAATCTTCACTTTTCAGGCCTCAAACTCGTTTGTCACTCTACCATTAATGGATTGCATAAGATTTCATGTCCTAAAGCCAAGAATTCAATGCATTGTACAAGAAAATAACCATTTATGAAAGAAAGGCAACATTGCCATTTTGGAAAAACATGCTTTTTGCATTTTTCCATTTCTTGAGCCTTGGACTTGTTCTTTCTACACAAACTAAGTCTCTAAACTTGAAAAAAAAATATGTTTAAAGCTTCACACCATCCTACAAGATCAGAACCATGCATTAAGAAGTCATTTCTCACACTTGCTTCAAAAATAAGAAATGTAGCAAGACATGTGATCTTGTACTTCTGAGCAAGCATAAGTCCTCCAACCTTTTGCTCTACATAAAGCCATCATTTTGCAACTAAAACCACGAATGCTCAAGCCTTGAAACACCCTAGAATCAGAAATTGCACACCAAGTCTCCAAACTTGCCATTTCTGACTTATGAACTGAATCTTCCATTTCACTCGTGCGTTTTCAGGCATTTTGCTTCCCTAAGCTTCCTTACCTTACAAGTGAACCATCCCACATCCTGAAACATCACTGTAACTCCATTTTCCCCATTGTTGAACTTCAAAAATAGAGTAACACAGGTGGACTTCTCCAGATCATTCCAGCCACCCTCAAGACAAGCTAAGCATTGCATTAGCTTCCTAGAGGTTCAAGGAAGCTAACCTGATCATCACAGCTTCCTAAAGCAAGCTCATTTCTAAAACACGATTTCTATTTTCAATGTGAGTTTTATGTTTTTCTAACTCTTGATACAAGCATAGTCAACTTTCTATTTGTGAATATACAATGTAGACATCATTGCTACGAAGCTGTACATATCCATAACTTACATTTATTTGGCCTGGGTTGAGAGAATTTTGAGTTTGAAGTTTCTGAAAAGTTAGGTTAAGAATTAGGGCCAACAAAATTCTCTTTGATCTTGGATTTATAGTTTTAGCTATGCACATGGTTAGAATCGTGATATAAAATGTTATAATGTTCATGTTATCACTTTTCATTTTTGTTGAGAGATGAAAAAGTTACAGGGGATCCGGCTGACTAGAGGAAGAAGATGAAGTACAGGACAAGGAAGCGTTTTATGTTATGTATTTTTATTTTCATTTGAACTAACGGATGTACAGTCACCCCAGTGGCAAGGAAGCGCGCAAAAATGCCCTAGGTCACGTGTTCGAGCCTTGGCGCTGCCTTTTACATTTTTCATATTTTTTCATCTTTTTTTGTTGTTGTTTACAACATGGACTTTTGGACAACTGGGCCCTATGTTTTTGCTAATCTCTCACCCTCTATTTACTTGCAGCACCCCTGGCCCAAATGTTTTATTTAATATTTTTATTTTCATTATTATTTCTATCAAATATTTTTCTTAATAATATAAAATCATAAAAAATATAAAAATGATAAAATTTATATTTTATTTATTTTATTTTATTTTCTCGTAAAAAATATTTTTTTATTTAGTTACATACTACCTATTTTATCAAATAAATTTGTAAATTAAAATGAAATTAGGTTAAATATTTATTTCTTTTCTCTCACACTTAGAAATATTTATTTTAACATATAAAAGGACCAAAATACTTCATAAATACTATTTTTTATTTTCAAGACAAAAATACAAAAAAAAAACTTAAAGAAATTTATTTTCTTTTAACAAATTAAAATTAGGGTTAATCAAAGTCTTTTCTAAAAAATAATAATTATCTTTCTTAATTAATTTAAGTTCAATCTTGATTTATTTATTAGGCTTAGATTAAAACTTTTTTTCACATAAAAAAAACAAAACAAAAATCTTTTTATTGCATATATATATATATATATATATATATATATATATATATATATATATATATATATATATATATATATATATATATATATATATATATATATATATATATATATATATATATATATATATATATATATATATA